GTATATAAGTTAATAACTCGTTGATTATTGAAGAATTAAAATTCCTACTGAAATTTAATTTTGACACCGTACAAATTAATATTTACTGACAAATTGTAATTGTTCGTAAAAACGATTAATTGTTGCATTAAAACTGACGAGAACAGAATCCTGGGTCTATCTAAATAACAGTAACAGTTCGCTATCACGCTTTCCCCATAAATCTTCATTAATTCCACGCGACTGCAACAAGTTTCGATTGCACGCGTCGAAAGGTTCAAACGTTCGACAGTATACGAACGCTGCGGCTTATAATGTTTCCAGGGACAAGTTTAATCGCGTCAACTCTATTTATCAGCCAGTCAGATGAGCTTATCTATTCGCGTTTTCACCCCGGCGTCCTAACTGTTCGCTTCGCCTACGGAAAGTCCCTTATATTGGCGAATAAATTCCTGGCGGTCTCCTATATTTTTCATCGGCCAACGCACGCGCACGCGGGGAATCCATAAACCAGCGACGATGTAAATCTTTCCCTGGCTCGGTGCAGCTCGGGTCAAAGAAATCTTATCCGCTCGTTCATCCTAACGCGTACCGTATTTGTTTAAACGGCCATTCGATTGACCATCCTTTCCTGATTACACGGCTTAAGGATTCCAGGCACGCGTTTCACGTTGCGCAGAGTTATTCCTCAAATCGAAGCCGCTTGTTCGACGCCCGTCGAGGCGTTAAAGTACAAAATCCGATCGATCGTTTTCTGCACAGAAATTCTCTATTTGCGCAACTTGCTTGGAATAAAAAGGATCTTTCTTATTGAATTTTTAAGTTGCATCGACGTCGAATACATAAAATTACATTTAGATACATGGAAAATATTGTTTAGGTGAAATTTCATTAAAAAGTTCGACTAATTTCCTTGGACTTTAAACAGAATTATTGTTCTCTGTTTAATAAACGTTTACAAACTTGTAGCAGTCCTCGTATCGCGTGGGGGCGGTTTTCACACGCGAGTTTCAACTACCTGTGCCCGTTGAAAGTTGAGTAATTTGTTTTATCGCGCACAGTTAGTGGGTTATTAGAGTAACTTTAGCCGATAGAGCTGGAGTTAAAATAATAGCCGTATTAGTCACTAACTAGTTGGCTGTAACAACTCAAACTTCGACTGTTCCACCTTGAACGATATTTTTCTTATATAGCCAATCTTCTCAGACACGTTTAAACGAAAAGACTTGGAACCATTCGAAGCAATTAAATGAAATATTGAAAAGGAGCAGAGATTAATCAGCGAGCTACCATTTAAATGCATGCGACGAATGAAACGAACGATTTGCTCCTAACGGCACTACATGGCTAGGAACCATTTGAAGCAATCAAATGGAACGTTGAATAGGAGCAGAGATTAATTACCTTAATACATTCATTGAGCTTCCATTTA